CCAAGAACCCACTAATAAGCAGTTGAAAGAGTAAACAGGCAGTGTAAAGACTGGAGTTTGAAGTTTAAGTCCTGCATTTTTAGAGGGTCTTGATAAATACATATTACTTTCCATTTAAATTTAAGTATGACTATACTGTTGGAATAGAGACATGCCAGGACAGAGATTCATCCTACAACCAAGAGCAAAACCAAACGGATATCTTATTCAAAAGTTCAAAGTTATTAGACAGTAATTTCTCTGCTTTCTAGAAATGACATCAACACTCTTTAAGAAGATAATAAAATCCAAATAACTGTAAACATATTCTGAACATCTGTTATCTACAATAAAAATGATCACGTTTTTATTGAGAGAAAATAAAGAAAGAATGCATAAATTACCAGTGTCAAGAAAAAGAGAGAGGGTATACTGCTGATACTGACAATAAAAGTAAAATAAGGGAATATTATGAACCACCATATAAAAATCAATTTTTAACAATTTATAGAAAATAAAGTTCCTATAGAAATAAACCTTTAGAAGAGATACAGAAAATTTGTCTATATACTTATTTACCAAAATTAATGCAAATGACATAGAAAATCTGAATTTCTTTATCTGCCTATGATATAAATTGCATTCATCTTTAAAACCATCACACAAAGAAAGTTTACATCAAGAGGACTTAGTAAATTCTACAAATATTTAATCTTACATCAACTTAACATTTGCTTTTATGATGGGCTAGTATCAATTCTTTTACTTCTACATTTAGGTCTCCTTTGGGATTTCTTGTAGGGCCAGTCTAGTGGTGAAAAATTCCCTTAGTATTTATTTGTCTGGCAAAGGCCTTATTTCTGCTTCATTTATAAAGCTTGATTTGGCAGGATTTATTTTTTTCTTTAAGAAGGCTGAAAATAGGTCCTTAATGCTGTCAATAATCTGAAGAAAAAGGAATGCTTATCCACTGTTGTAAATGTAAATGGTACAACCTCTATGGAAAATAGTTTGGGATTTTCTCAAATAACTAAAAATAGAACTACCATTTGATCCAGCAATTCTATACTGAGTATCTACCCAAAGGAAAGAAATTGTTATATCATAAACACATCTGAACTTATAAGTTAACTGCAACACTGTTCACAATAGAAAAGTCATGGATTCAACCTAAACACTTGCCAACAGATGACTGGATAAAGAAAATGTGGGATATACACATCATAGACTACTACACTTCCACAAAATCAATGAAATCATGTCTTGTGCCACAACATGGATAGAGCTAGAGGCTACTATTCTTGGGTAAAATCCCTCAGAAACATAGATGATCTCACTTATAAGAGGGAGCTAAACAATGAGTACACATGGACATATGAAGGAATATAAAAGACAATGGAGACTCCAAAACGGTGAAGGTGGGAGAGAATTGAAGATTGAAAAATTAATTATTGGATACAATACTCATTACTCAAAAGATGGCTATAGTAGAAGTCCAAACCTCACCATTATGCAATCTGTCCATGTAACAAACTGGCACATGTATATGGGGTGTGTGTGTGTTTGATATATATATATCATATATATATATATTCTGGCATGTATAATATATATCATATACATATATATTCTGGTGTGTGTGTGTGTGTGTGTGTGTGTGTGTGTGTACATATGTGATACCAGAATACTATATATATACACAATACACCAGAATACTATATACCAGAATACTCCATATATGATATATAATATATAATATATGAGATATATATGTGTATGTTACAGATTTTTTATCCACTCGTTGATTGATGGGCATTTTGGCTGGTCCCACCTTTCTGCAATTGCGAACTGTGCTGCTATAAACGTGCATCTGCAAGTGTCTTTTTTTGTATAATGACTTCTTTTTCTCTGAGTATCTATCCAGTAGTGGGATTGCTGTATCAAATGGTTGGTCTACTTTTAGTTTTTTAAGGAATCTCCACACTGTTTTCCATAGTAGTTGTACTAGTTTACAATTCCACAGGAAATGCAGAAGAGTTCCCTTTGCAGTGATGCTTACATTGGTGTGTACTCTTGTCAAAACCCACCAAATAATATAGTTAAAACCCTTATGGCTGTGTAATTTGAAAAGTTGATCAACCACATGAAGTTGCTATGAAAAAAGGACACATGGCTGGTTAAGTTACCCATTTTTTATGTGCTAGACACTTATGGGCACCAGCTGTACCGAAATGTGAGGAGACCTGATCAAGTAATCGTCACAGCTGGTGCCCAAACAGGGACATCAATGTATCCAGTGCCACAGCTTAGATTGGCTTTGTGGAAATAGCCTCTCAATTCCCATCCCTCCCCTTTTTCAGGTTTATGATTTAGTAGAGAAATAGATCCCAAAAGTACAAGTATAGTAAAAGATCACAATAATTTTAATTTCCAAAATTAGGTGCTATAATAGTCCAGTTTTGTCACAAATAAAAGGATAATTTAATGTGTAGACTTTCTTAGAACAAGACTGGGATTTGCTCTTTGTTCTTGCAGCAAGTTTGAAAAAAAAAAAACATTGAAAATTTAAAAGGAATGAGCACACATATATCTTTGCTCTGTAAGCTGAGAGAGTGTACAAGCAATAATAACCACAATAGCAAAAAGCACACGTAGTGCCCATATCTTAGTTTCTAATATCATTCTCCAATAAAATGAATCAGGGCTTCTTGGAAAAATAGCTAATTTTAGGACTGGAGGAGGAAATACATGAGATGAACCAGGAACATTGTGCAGTACCAGAAAGTTAGAAAGTACTCAAGAGCAACAAAACAATCCACAATGATGGGGAAATGTCAAAGAGACAAAGGAACAAACAGAGAGAGATTTTGATTTCTGAAGCTACAAAAATTTGAGCAATAAATATAAACTAAATATCAATGAATTAATGCTTATGTAAATAAATGATTGAATAAATGAATGGAAAAGAAGATATGTCACCCATTCAGAAGAATTCCAAATAATTTATGTAGATATTCAGGGAGGCGGTACATAACAACCCACTCATTAAATGGAGACTGCACATAGTGACTTCCTTCTATTTTTGCCAGTTCAGTACATGAAGTGGCAAAAAAAAAAAAAATTAACTTTGCAATGAAAAAACCTGACCAACACTACTTCAGTCAGGTGTTCAATCTTAACATCAACAATGTTAAGTCATGACAGCACATACCTTTGATATTATGTGATAAAAATGGCACTTTTCCTCTTTTGTCTTCCTCCTGAAACCATGTAATATCAGTCTAATCATAATTTTAAAAATAGGAAAATCTCAAATGAATAACAGTTTTCAAACTAGTACTCCTCAAAACTCCAGATCATCAAAAACAGGGAACGTGTATGAAAGTGTAATAGCCAAGAGGAACCTGAGACATAACACTGTATGGAATATTGTATCCTGGGTGAGATCCTAGAATAGAAAAAGGATATTAGGCAAAAACTGAGGAAATCTGAATAAAGTATGAACTTCAATTAATAATCATGTGCCTATCTTGTTTCATTAATTATAACAGGGATACCATACTTATGCTCGATATTAATAATGGGGGAAAAAGCTGTGGGGTACATGGGAACTCTTTCTACTAGCTACTCAATTTCTCTGTAAATCTAAAACTGTTCTAAAAATATATATTTTTTTAAAAAACTGGAATGTACAAAGCCATAAATATATGAAATTTTAAATAGTTCCATATGACTGGAGAGTGTAGTATGCAAAAAAGAGTGAAAGGAAATGAAGTTAGAAGAGTAATCGTGGTGTTATTTCACTTGTTGGCTCCATATGCCATGATAAAGAATCTGGACTTGATCCTTTATAGGAATTAATTGAAAAATGACCTCACAGAAACAAAAATAAATAAGTTCATAATATTTCACCCCAAACTGTCCTTCAAAGGAAATTTGTGCCCTAATGTTGCCTTTCTACTTGTAAATTATTTAGCATAACTGGAAGGGTATAAAGGTTGTCAAAAATAAATATGAAGATAAAGAAATCTGGATCTATTCAATATACAACACCTAGTTTGTGTTACTTGTTTTATTTTGCTTTGTTATGTTTTGCTTGATTTTTATTGCCAATGATATTCCACACTAACACACTTATTTTAAGATACAGAAATGCTCTTAATGTTTATACTCTAGGTGTTATCACTTTTTAGTAAAAAATGAACGGGTTGGGCCAGGCTCAGTGGCTCATGCCTGTAATCCCAACACTTTGGGAGGATAAGGTAGGTGAATCACCTGAGGTCAGGAGTTCGAGACCAGCCTAACCAACATGGAGAAAACCCATCTCTACTAAAAATACAAAATTAGGCGTGGTGGCACATGCCTGTAATCTTGGCTACTCAGAAGACTGAGGCAGGAGAATTGCTTGAACCCAGGAGGCAGAGGTTGTGATGAGCTGAGATCATGCCATTGCACTCCAGCCTGGGCAACAAGAGCAAAACTCTGTCTCAAAAAAAAAAAAAAAAAAAAAAAAGGGTTAAATTCACAGCCTTTGTCTAATAATTATTACAACTATTTAGCATATACTTGAGTATCTATTATGTGCTGGGCCTTCATAAACTTTTTTTTTTAACCTTTCAACATTTTTTGATTATTATGACTATGTTTTTGACAATGAAAATCAGGCTCAGGAAAGTTGACCTACCCAAATTAAAAATGTAGTAAACAGGACTCTAAAAAAGAAAATTAAAAAGTCAGTATAGAATACTGTTCTGCAAGCACATGTGATGTGTTTCCAACATTCACTGTGTAGATAAAAGATGTCCTGAGTCTTAGCCAGCTCTGCACACATGCTGCACAGAGACTGAAGTAAACAGTAAATGTGAATATGGCTAATGTCTTAACTTTACACATTAACAACGTAAAGACTTCTTCTACTATTATTATTTTCAAAATTCTCACTGTGGAGAGAACCCTGCATTTTAATTTTTTTCTTTATAACTAATAACTTTGCATTGAGGATGTAAACACAAGCTGGGATCCAGTAATCAAATGTTAGCTGAACTTGCAAGCAAAGTAAGTCGTTTTGTTTCAAGGCTGATGTTCATTCAAGTGCAAAATCAGGCACATAGGCACAGTGTAGAAGAATCCCATTAATCTCACCATTGGTAACCAGAACCCTATCATTATATATAGTATATATTAACAAATTAAACATATAGAAAGCATGTCTAAGAATTAATAGGACTTTAGGCTTAATTACATACTCTTTGCTGAAGAATATAAAACATAAAGGTCATTATTCACTGTCTCCAATCAGAAATCCTCAAGAAATTATATATTACTCGGAATTGATCATGTAAGAGTGAATTCTTAGGAGAGCCTGAAAGGTGCTGAGTTCTGATGCGGGTAACTTTAGCATAAACACAGAAACAGCATATATGGATATAGGAGCTGTTGTAGAGCAGGAATCCTGGATTAAAATAAAAAGTAATCTTATAATAAGAACTGTTCTGAGCAGAGGTTGAAATATCAAGGAAAGGTTCATAGAACTGATGTTTTTAATGTAAAATGTTCTGTAATATATATTTTTGGCTTTCATGGACTTCCAGAATAATATTTTCTCTATGCACACCAAAAGCAGACATTTATAGTTAGATTTCTGTATTTCACATTTTATTTTCAAATCTGGATCTTGTTGAGAGCTTATATCTTAATTTCCTGTGATATTTTTCTTAACACCTGAAAATAAAAGCATTTGGGGCTTATTTTATATATTTTTTCCTAAATATGAAATAGACTTTGGGAATAAATTAAACTTAAACATATATACTAAGTTTTATCACAGGTTTCTTAGTATTTATCATTTATAGTAGGTTTCTTCTATTTATGGTTTAGAATGTTAGAGTTCTGGGTGAATTTATTAAATGCATTTGCAGTTTCTTTTGATATAATTTGCTGATTTTTTTCTTTAGTATTTAACAAAATTGTGGTGATGCATTTACAATAATGAATTACTCTTGAAGTACTGGAACATATATTACTGAAAAATTATTTAAACTACTCTTTGCTAGTATTTTATTTGTGAAGTTTTTCATTTTTCATTATAGAGTTTTCATGCAGTTTTATTTTTGTACTCTTGTCAGATATCAAGTTTTGATACTAAAATGACGTTGACTTCAAAAAATAAATGGAGAGTGTTTAAGTTAGTATAGATGAGCTCATTCTGCAGAAACAAACAGAAAACTTTGGCTCAAACAACACATCTGGAATACTGCTGGTCTTTGTGGAAGAAGGAATAGAAACATTGCAAAAAAAATGTGCTGAGTATTAGATGTGACTGGATATGAAACTTGTCACTTCTGCTCATATTTAATTAACTAAAGCAGGTCACATGTTCAGTTATGACTGAGCTCAATGAGATGGAACAACATGTTTCTCTCCCAAGAAGGCCATCAGATATAGTGAACATTAATTTATCTCAAAAATTTTCTATGGCCTAAAATGGTTATCTCTAAGAATAATCTTAACAACTCAGCTGTAATTCACTTCACTCCTGGTTCCTTTCATATATGCAGACAGATAATAGACAGAGATATGATAAATATAGGTATATGTGTAGATACAGAAATAGAATGTTGTATGTGTGTGGGATTCAAGCATCTTAATTTGATCTGTGAGCTCTCTGTTGGATACCCTCTGGGAGTTTGTCTCATTTTATACAGAAACATTTGTTTTTTATAAAGCATAATTGGAAATAACCTCCTTGCATGGAAAACTTGGCTTATCCATCTGGGAAAATAATAGCCACTAAATGAAGTTTTCTGCTAAAAAACAGTAACTTCATTTTTTCTTTTTATTACTTTATTTTTATTATACTTTAAGTTCTGGGATACATGTGCAGAACATGCAGGTTTGTTACATAGATATACATGTGCCATGGTGATTTGTAGAACCCATTACCCATCATCTACATTACATATTTCTTCTAATTCTATCCCTCCCCTAGCCCTCAACCCCCAACAGGCTCTGGTGTGTGATGTTCCTATCCCTGTGTCCATGTGTTTTCAATGTTCAACTCCCGTTTATGAGTAAGAACATGTGGTGTTTGGTGTAACACAAAGCTTTGTGTTACTTTGCTGAGAATGATGGTTTCCAGCTTCATCCATGTCCCTGCAAAGGATATGAACTCATCCTTTTTATGGCTGCATAGTATTCCATAGCATATATATCCCACATTTTCTTTATCAAGGCTATCACTGATGGGCATTTGGGTTGGTTCCAAGTCTTTGCTATTGTGAATAGTGTTACAATAAACACACATATGCATGTGTCTTTATAATAAAATGATTTATAATTCTTTGGGTATATACCCAGTAACGGGATTGCTGGGTTAAACGGTATTTCTGGTTCTAGATCCTTGAGGAATTGCCACACTGTCTTCTACAAAGGTTGAACTAATTTATACTCCCACCAACAGTATAAAAACATTCTCATTTCTGAACATCCTCTCCAGCATCTGTTGTTTCCTGACTTTTTAATGATCACCATTCTAACTGAAGTGAAATGGTATCTCACTGTAGTTTTGATTTGCATTCCTCTAATAACCATTGATGCTGGGTGGCTCTGGAACAAGTGGACCTAAAAGACTTCTGCAGAACTATTCACCCCAAATCAACAGAATATAGATTTTTCTCAGTACCATATCACATCTATTCTAAAATTGACCACATAATTGAAAATAAAACACTCCTCAGCAAATGGAAAAACAGAAATCACAACAGTCTCAGACCACGGTGCAATCAAATTAGAACTCAGGATTAAGAAACTAACTCAAATCCACAGAGGTACATGGCAACTGAACAACCTGCTTCTGAATGACTACTGGGTAAATAATGAAATCAAGGCAAAAATGAATAAGTTCTTTAAAACCAATGAGAACAAAGACACAATGTACCAGAATCTCTGGGACACAACTAAATCAGTGTTTAGAGGGAAATTTAAAGCATTAAATGCTCACAGGAGAAAGTGGGAAAGATTTAAAATCAACACCCTAACTTCACACCTAAAAGAACTAGAGAATGAAGAGCAAACAAATTCAAAAGCTAGCAGAAAAAATAACTGAGATCAAAGCAGACCAGAAAAAAATAGAGACAAGAAAAACCCTTCCAAACATCAACAAATACAGGAGCTGAATTTTTTGAAAAGATTAACAAAATAGAGCCCGCTAGGCAGACTAATAAAGAAGAAAAGAGAGAAGAATCAAATAGACACAATAAAAAATGATAAAGGGGAGATCACCACCATTGATCCCACAGAAACACAAACTACCATCAGACAATACTATAAACACCTCTACGCAAATAAGCTAGAGAATCTAGGAGAAATTGATAAATTCCTGGACACATACACCTACCCAAGACTAAACCAGGAAGAAATTGAATCCCTGAATAGATTAAAAACAAGTTCTGAAATTCAGGCAGTTATTAATAGCCTACCAACCAAAATAAGCCCAGGACCAGATAGATTCATATTCTAATTCTACCAGAAGTACAAAAAGGAGCTAGTACCATTCCTTCCAAAACTATTCCAAACCATAGAAAAAAAGGGACACCTCCTGAACTTATTTTATGAGACCAGCATCATCCTGATACCAAAACCTAGCAGAGACACAACAAAAAAAATTTCAGGGCAATATCCCTGATGAACATTGATACAAAAATTCTCAGCAAAATACTGGCAAACCAAATCCAGCAGCACATCAAAAATGTTATCTACCACGATCAAGTTGGCTTCATCCTGGGGATGCAAGACTGTTTTAAGATACAGAAATCAATAATCACATAAACAGAACAAATTACAAAAGCTATATAATTATCTCAATAGATGAAGAAAAGGCCTGCAATAAAATTCAACACCCTTTCATGCTAAAAACTCTCAATAAAGTAGGTATTAAAGGAAGGTATCTCAAAATAATAAGAGCTATTTATGACAAACCCACAGCCATTATCATACTGAATGGGCAAAAGCTGGAAGCATTCCCTCTGGAAACTGGCACAAGACAAGGATGCCCTCTCTTGCCACTCCTATTTGACATAGTACTGGAAGTTCTGGCCAGGGCAATCATACAAGAGAAAGAAATAAAGGACATTCAATAGGAAAAGAGGATATCAAATTGTCTCTGCAGGCGACCTGATTTTCCATTTAGAAAAACCCACCATCTCAGCCCAAAATCTCTCCAAGCTGATAAGCAACTTCAGCAAACTCTCAGGATACAAAAATCAATGTGCAAAAATCACAAGCATTCCTATATGCAAATAACAGACAAACAGAGAGCCAAGTCATGAGTGAACTCCCATTCACAACTGCTACAAAAAGAATAAAATACCTACGAATACAACTTACAAGGGATGTGAAGGACCTCTTCAAGGAGAACTACAAACCACTGCTCAAGGAAATAAAAGAGGAAAAAAAAAAACAAATAAAAAAATATTCCATACTTATGAATAGAAAAAATCAGTGTCGTGAATATGGCCATATTGCCAAAAGTAATTTATAGATTCAATGCTATCCCCATCAAGCTACCATTGACCTTCTTTACAGAACTGGAAAAAACTACTTTAAATTTCATGTAAAACCAAAAAAGAGCCTGTATAGCCAAGACAATCCTAAGCAAAAGGAACAAAGTGGGAGGCATCACACTACTTGACTTTGAACTATACTATAAGGCTACAGTAACCAAAACACCATGGTACTGGTACCAAAACAGACATATAGACCAATAGAACAGAACAGAGGCCTCAGAAATAATGTCATACATCTACCACCATCTAGCTGATCTTTGACAAACCTGACAAAAAGAAGCAATGGGGAAAGAATTTTCTATTTAATAAATGGTGTTGGGAAAACTGGTTAGCCATATGCAGAAAACTGAAACTGGACTCCTTCCTTACACCTTATACAAAAATTAACTTAAGATGAATTAAAGACTTAAACGTAAGACCTAAAACTATAAAAACTCTAGAGGAAAACCTGGGCAATACCATTCTGAACA